GTGTTGCAGGTGTCCATGGGCGACGGTAATCACTTACCATCAGGTGATCCATCTGTTCGTCTGCCCCCTATCCCATAAAAAAATGGGCCATGACCCTCCACACTGGCCCAATGCAGATTGGAGGGTATTACGATAACAAACAAACATTAACATGCCTTCGAAACACAGACTAGCTTGAGATAATAATAAGATATAAGTAGCCTAAAAGAGTAGACTCATGCCCAGAAATAGTGTCAGTTTTTTGACAAAAAATTAGAGCAACCAAACTTATATGTTATCTTTGCGCATGATTGAAAAATATAATAAATAAAACGATAATTTAAATTTCGATGTTAGGCCTCATTTATATATGATGATTTTTATGTGTACCTATCGTATGAAGATATCAAAGATATAGGTTATTTTTTATTTGATTTTTTTACCTTACAAATGCCGATTACGTATTAACGTCTCTAAAAGCAATTTACATGTTTCTTTGAGAAGAGTTCAATTTTTTGACTGAAAGCACCTGATTAAGAATTATATCAAAGTGAAGGTAATAAACAAAAATGAGAGAAATAAAAAGTTATTTATTCCACGTAATTACTAATAAAAATAATAATATAAAATGAATAAAAAATATTTTTACTTCATTTTCTTCATACTATATTTTTTCTTCATACTCATTATATTAGTATTTTACTACTATAGTCATTATTATTTTTGATGAATTTTAAATTCACAATGCTATACTGGAAAATATTCTTAGTGAAAAATGCTTAAAAATCTTCTTTGTCCCAGATATCCTCAGATAGTTCGAATCCCAACTTAGGGAACCAGCGATTAGAGGTTCAATGGCGCAGTGGTAGCGTTCCTACTATTACGCCGAGCCTCACCCAGGACAAACATTTTTGTGATTAACAATTATGTCTGTTCTGTGTTTGGGTGTTTTCTATTTATATTAAGTATATATTTGTATTCCTCCGTTGTTTCTGATACCCGTAACAAAAGTGCCTAAGCTACTTACCTCGGAATCGGAGCAATGTGTACGATGTTGTCCGTTATTTATTTACTTTAAGCATTTATCAATAAGAATACTATAGTCATTTCGCTTATAGTCAGAAAATTAAGAAAAAAAGAAAAATCAAATATATTGCCCAGATTCCAAGATGAGTAACTAATAAATAAAGCCCCTATATTATAGAGTATCGGAAATAACGAAGGTACCACAACACCCAAATCCGAAAAAGTATAGAATTTTTTCTTTTTTATATTACCGGGAATATTTTTTTACATTACCAGGAATCGAACCCGGAACCTCAGAGATGGCGACGCCTTTGAAAATCGGCGTGCTAACCACTCGGCTACGGAGGTCGATAATTTAATTAAATCTAACTTTGTAACAAGTAGGAAAGTTTTATAGATAGGTAATGTAAGAATGCTTGCAATTTCGTTTCACATCGGCTCAATGATTCTTACTCTGGTTTAGACCTGTACCCATATCATCAGATATTGGCATTTGTTCAGAATAATTACGTTCCGCCAGTGACTGTAACTCAATTACTATGTGTAATAAGACTAATGAGCAAGACATCCGAACAGTCACGTTCTAGTTAAGGCGGGTTGTGAGAATGTATAAATTTGAAGGCAGACGGACACTAATAGATCATATTTTCTTCCTCGCCACTCCTTCCATACAGCAAAACTCACTTTTAATAACTTTTGCGTTCAAGTGCTATTAAGTACCTTTAAAAATTTTGAAAAATATAGATATTTATGAAAAAAATATTTCTTGAGTATCTAACATAGGACGACATCGAGAAAGTCTTATAAGTTACAATAAAAATAATAGATATTACTTTTTAAATATTAATAAATGCAATAATTATATAATAAGTATTATTATTTCTTTGTTTTTAATTAGTTCTTAATGTTTCAGTAGTAAAATGCATTGTACACTTTTTGCATTGTAATAGTTTAAATTATTTAAAGGAGCTCGATGGCGCAGTGGTTAGCGCGCTCGGTCTACTTTACGGTTGTTAAGCAAGGCCCGGTCATAGAATGGGTGACCAAAAATTTATTATCTCGAGTTCTTCCGTCCCTCGGAAGGCATTTTAAGCCGTTGGTCAACGCTGCGTCTGCAGTTAAGCCACACTGGTGGGGTCATGGCCCATTCTCGCGATTAGATTTGATTTTATTCCATACACAGGGAAGGCTTGAGCCCCAGCAGTGGAGATATTAATAGGCTGGTGATGACGATGATGATTTAGTGTCGGTCAAGACTGAGAAAAGGGTTCAAGATATTCAGACACATGATGCTATTTTTTACTGTATAAATATGTTTAGTTCTAGTTTAATTTCAATTTAAATTTCCAATAGTTTCAAATACTATTCAATACAGTCAAACATACCTACATTCGATCAAATATTTTCTTTTTATAGTATTGGTATAGATTACAAAACAAGTTTTTAATGAATATTATAATGATTACTTAAAAAAATTAACAGTCTCAGTTTTTTCTTAAAACCAGGTTGTTTTTTTATGACGTAGAAGCATTCTTTATATGTACTGTATGGCTGCTTGACAGGCGGCGGGAGTATGTGGGACTCTCCATCCGCACGGACTCTCCCGAATGCTAGTCAAAACACGGATGGCATACCTACTAAACACTTTCCGTGCACTCTCTCTTTTCGGGGAAAGGGCCTGGCTCCACCTTCCAGCCTCCGTAAGCCAAGAAAGCCTAGCAAATACAGTGAAAGGCATAGTATCTACATAGCTCAGACCAGGGGTTCCAAAACTTATTTTGTCTACTGCCCACTTTATGAAGAAATTATTTTTTAGTGCCACCATTTTTTCACTTACTTAAAAACCTCTATAACTTCAAATTAAATTAATTCATTATTGTAAGCAATATCAGTGGATATTTAACATAAATTTTAAAAGAGACTTGATACCAGAGCGCAGTAGCTAATACGCAACGGCGCTCAAGTCTCAAGTTAACTCTTACGTAACCATTTTTGAAATTGATAACTCTCTTACCCCCCCCCCCCCCCCCCCTTAGGCCTGCAGCGCCCACAAGCGGGCGTTATCGCCCAATTTGGGAAAAGCTGGCTTAGACGAATAAATAACTAAAATCAACTTTCACGCAACAACAACAGGATTAGAAACTTAGATTTAAATTAAAATTAATCATATTATAAATTCTGTGCACGACTTTTCTCATATCGCAAACATTTAATCTTAACGTGTATTCGATTTCAGCAGTTGCAGTTGAAGTAATTTGATCATCAACCTGACTATCAAAATAATTAGATTTAGCTCTACATACTAAAGTATATCTTTAGCCTTTAGCTGTTGTCCAAATTAATAGGTTCCGAGGCAGTATTTTAATTGAAAATTCATGAAATAGGATGATTCGGGCAAGCATCCTTTTATTAGAAGTTTTTATAAATCGTTACGATCAACGTAAAGCGACTGATACAAATATCTGAATAAAATAAAAAAAGGTTTAACGTTTAAGTTTTACATTCACAAGCCCCAGGTATTTTAAAAAAAAATATATTTTTTTAATAAACCTATTTTGATTGATTAAATTCTATGTTATAGTTTATACATAATTGTTGTTTGTAAGGTTCTTTAGAGGCATGTTAGAAATATAGTGTCTTAGGATGGTTCACAACTAAGCCGTTTTCTACACAAATTTTAGGTATTTTCTTTGGTATAGTTATAGATAAATAGTAAGTGAATAAACAACTAGATAAGTCACATGTATGCAATGCAATGAATAAATTCAGCTTCCACTTATCATTGAACGAAACATATGGCGTAGCTAAGTTATTTACTCACTATTCTATTTAAAAAAAATCATATATTCACACTTGCTATTTTTAAACCAGTGTAAATATTTAAGTAGCAGTACATTATCTCGTTATCACTGATTCAATAATTCCCTCGTTGTTTGTTTATTAATGAGTCTGAGTCAAATCCAAGTCAAATGTAATAAATTAAACAGTAACCACTTAATTCAATAGAGAACTTCGCTTTTGTATTTGGAAATTCTTCCATCATCTTCATTTAAAAGTTACTTAACTGAAAATTGAGTTTAAGTAATTAATGAATAATACCGTTTGATTTTGTCGACCTCAATGTAGACTTTAGAAATTTTATCTGTTGTAGGTATAGATGTACTTGTATAAATAACTTAATAGTCAGGGGCTAATTGTCTAATTTTAAAATCGATTGCCATTTCCACTTGACATTTGAAAAACATTCACAAACTTCATGCTTCGAGTACATCTATTTGACTTTTTTTTTAAGCAAGCAAATACCTTTGAAAGCTTTTGAGAAATATCGAACAAAATTTTATCTGCAATCTTTTGACCGGTTTAGGTAAGTTTTAATTATGTTTCTTGATAATTTAAATCATCAATAGCACCTAATATAAAGATTTAAACGTTATATATTTCTATATCTTGATTAATTTTGCATTCACAATGCCATACTGTAAATTATTCTTAATACAAAATGCTTAAAAAATCCACTTGGTCCCTGACACCCTGAGATGGGAATCGGTTTCACGATCTCTATATTTTTGAAAGGGAATGCGATATATTTTAAAATTAGGCAATAGCCCACCGATGGCCCGATAAAAATGCCCTCTATAGTAATGGTTTATGTAGAGGTTGTCTCCCGTGATTCAAAATGCGCGTTCTTTGATACACGTCCTGGATCTCGTATCATCGAATCGCCGATCCAATATGGAACGTTTGCTGTTAACGTGGTGAAAGCCTACAACATATAGGCACGTGGGAATTGCTGTATAAAAACATTCAACAGCAATGCAAAAAGGTGCTTTCTATTTGAAAAATGCACACAGCTTTCTTACCCTAATCTGTTTATCGCTAGTTCATCTTTCATACTTCAATTTAAATTATTCACTACTGTCAGTCATTACGAAGGTAAACACTCGGCTTACCAATTTACATTCTGATTATTTACAAAATGTTATTATTTTTTGCAGTTGCTGGATGCGGAGGCAGCATTGTGTGCTGCGGCTGAAGCAGCAGATTGCGATACTCAATCAAATAATCAAAGCAACATTGAAATATCAGTCATATCTAGTAAAGATAGTTCCAAATTTAACTCTCCAGACAGTTCCATACACAAAGACTGGACAGAAATAGGACCTGTATCAAAAGAAGATACACGCAAAATTAATGTCGACAACAGAATTTTGACCCCATTAATATTAATAAATGATAAACTACCAGAAGATTTGGATCAGAAATGGTCGCATATGGTAGCTTGGAATAATAATGACAAGATAAGACTTTTTCCAGCAAGGAAAATGCACAAGAGAAAATTTTGCAGAAGAAAACATGAAGTGTTTAAGAGATCGTATTCGATAGCATAAAAATAACAATAAATATTAATATATTATTATCTTTTTAAATACAGACAGTAGAATAAAATATTACTATAATTTAGGTTTTTGCATATTTAAAATAAATGTATTTGGTATCAAATTATACACAAATACCTTTTCGGCTGTATAATACTCACTTATATACTTTAATAAAGACATTGTGTTATAAGATTGGATTATAATTTAAGCAATTCTAATGATTATAGACTCAATGAGCTCGATGGCGCAGTGATTAGAGAACTCGGTCTGCGATAAGGTTGTTAAACAATTTTCGCAAGGGTCGAATATTATCTCGAGCTCCTCCGTGCTTCGGAAGGCACGTTAAGCCGTTGGTTCCGGCTGCATCTGCAATCAGCACTCACCAATTCGCACTGGACCTACGTGGTGGATCATGTCTATTCTCCCTGCGTGGTGGGTCATATGATTCCAATAAAAAGCCAGGCCTGGGGAAGGTCTGAGCCTCAGCAGTGGAGATATTAAGAGGCTGGTGATGATAATGAACGATTTAACAGAACGTTATTGTCATAACAAACGAGTAAAAAATTTTCTGTTATTTAATTGGTAACAGGATATTCTCCTCAATTATGACTATTATTATTAAGATTTTCATGAAATAAACGAATAAGAAGTTTTCTGTTATAAAATTGGTGACAGGATATTCTCCTCAATTATGACTAATGTTATTAAGATTGTCATTAAAATTTGTTTTAACGCTACAACCCCCGACGATTTGATGTAAATAGCGGGATGCTGCTGGATACGGGCATCGCAGGACATGTATTTTCTTTGGGCTTCCAAGGCTGAGATGATGATGATAATGGTTGTCATTGTTATCTTCTCTGTCGTTCTTTTAAATGATAAAAAACACCAAGCAAGCGCAACACGAAGGATTCTGTACCAATCCATAAAAACAAAAAAAACACGTTTGTTGTTTTCAAACAGATTTGTTTTAAATTTTCGAGTTAAATGCAAAGGTCGACTATCACTTGTAAACTTGTAATTTCCATTTAAGTGTGATAGTTTTCCTATCTACTTCCTTAAATATAGATACTATTACCGTAACGTTTGAATTTCTAACAACAACCGTTTACTGATAGAGAGGGGGACTTTTGACTCTAACGAAAATTGGCACTTTGAAGCTTAATAAGTCATGAACGATTACCTTAATTCAAAAACGGTCTTCCCATACCCCTAATGTTTGAAATATCTATCCAATGTACTTCATGCAATGGAAAGATTAAAAAAATTTCATCCCCCACTTTACATGTAGGAAAGGTACCTACCCGAATTTTTTTTTAAACATTTCATTTTACCCCTTTGTCGGCTTCATTAACGTTAATTACATGCTTAATTACACCTATCTAATACAAATCGTTTTTGAGCTAAACCGCGGACGGAAACTATAAATGTTCCTGGTTGACTACAGAACCCTGAAAAGGGTTTATCAACCTACGTTTCTTAAATAAGGTATTTTTTGTTGATTAATACTTTATTGATTGTTGTCATATGTAATTTATCTATAAATATATATCAGTTTCCTAATCGTGAATAGATTATTGGGAAGCAAAGGTGTACTCTTTGGGAACGAAACACCTTTTACGAGTTACAAGTCATTCTAGGTTTCAAGATGTCATTATTTGTAAAGCTCCCGGGTCGGCTGATGTTTTACATTATTTTTTCTATTTTGTCTCGGGTCTGGATGCTGAAGGAAATTCGTTGTTACAAATTTCTTTAATATCGTACAATATTTAAAAACTTTTATTTAAAGAAATTTGAAATTGGATCTCGCATTAGATGTGATGTTGTCTAACATTTTACTTATATTTTATTTTGTTCAAAAATAATCTTCAAATAAACATCAGATTCAGTTAATAGTTAAAACAAAATATAAATATAAAAGTCATATAAAATAAGTTAATAGTACAACGCAATTTGGCGTAGACACAAAATAGAAATATTTTTAAATGTGAAGTTGTATTTTACCGACCCGTCGATTTACCCTGCGGTTAACCGTTTCGGTCCCACGGGTTTCCCTTTGAAACGGCAAGGACCGGTAATAGACAACCACGACGTTATTTTGAACTTAACTGTCATTTTGTAGTAAGCCCGCTCTAAGTTAGCAAGTTACCTTTTTACATTGTACTGGCAACCTGTTACTGTGACATTTTATTTTATAAACTTTATTATGTCTTTGATAAATTTTTGATGGTAAAATAAACACGTAATTATAATATAGTATGTTAAAATGCATGCTAACGTAAGTGACTGTTATTACATTTAATCAATTTTGATGTATCAATGCTCAACAGATTATAAAAAGACAAATATTTAAAAATTCATCAATCAGTGGTGGATTTTGAAGCATTATTAATTGACTATATTAACCAGTATAGTAAATGTTATCATATTATTAGCTTTTCGCCAGCAGCTTTGCTCGCGTGGTCCTTTATTACTCTATTGATGAAATGCCATTTCCAATAACCATTTACGTAAGGTAGTTTTAAATCGAGTAATAGGTAATTGTTTGAAATTATATATTTTTCTGCACTTGGCATAACATCTTTTTTGTCAGTCGGTCTTGGCGACGTGTTTTAAAAGTAGCCTTTCTTGTGATTGTGTGAACTAGGTATATTAATTTAACAAATATACCAATCTCTAAAATATAACGACTACCGCGTCTTTATATTTTAGACTACCGTGTTAAAATTTTGAGGGTTTTGAAGTATGGTTTGCAAAAAATATTCGGCCTTAAATTGTATCTTTTTTGCGCAATAAATAAAATATTTATGTCAGTGCCCTTCCCCAAATTAATAATCCTTATCTTAAGATGGATTCAAGGTATGCGAAGTAAGCTACAACTGTCGTATTTACACTAGCTACTTTAGTAAGATTTTTTACGCCTTTTTTTTACAATAATCTTATCATACGTTTCCAGTTTTAGCTGGACCAGGGACCAGTGTGACACTCTACTGGATTAAAACTAAATAAAGTCGAGTTTGTGCAACGGCATAATCATAAAAAATATATATTGTATGTAATAAATAATAAATATTATCTATTTCATATTTACTTTTATTATCATTTCTCTTTTATAAACAATATTAAGAACATTAACTCCTGTACTTTTGATATATTACTAGACATATGTTCGGTTGTGGGGGCCTGGTGTTCTGTAGAACAGGTGATCCTAGTATCGGTCACCAGTCTCCGTCCTTGAATTGAATAAGAATAAAATGACAATTGTAACTGTGTAATATGTGGAGAAAATAAATTATTATTATTATTATTAAAACACAAAAGAAAAATATCATGTTTATAATATTATCCAGGGACCGTCCATTTTATTCTACATTGGATCACTGTGGGAATACCTCACGTATTTTACATTGTAGACAAATATCGTTATTGTGCTATTCTTCCTGTGAATATGTAAAAATGAACCTCAAAACAAACAAATGCATTACGCTTTTAGAATAACAATATTTCGTTTTCACGAAATGTTACATACAAAATTCCATTTTGTCCCTCATAAAATGATATTTAGTAATTATGGCAACATCACGTAGACACGATATGCATAAGTTATTTTCGTTTGATACCGATTATTATATAAAATATTAATTAGTGTGATTTCACTTATTTGCTTAAAATTGCAAGTAAAGAAACTGTCTGACTAAAATACTTAATTTAGGTATTATAATATTTATCTTATATATTACAGTCAAAACTCATAACCGGTCAAAATTAGGACCATTAATTATGACAAATTTTGTAGGTGTGAAAATATATAGATCGATCAATGTGTATATTACATTGATAGTCAAGCCAAATCAGGGGCCATTAGTAAAACAGTAATTTTGTCAATTAGCTTCATTTATCAACTTTTAACAGACTTCAAAAAAAAAAGAGGCTTTCAATTTAAGGTGTATGTGTATAATTTCGTTAGAATGGCGTAATATTCATATATGTTAGTTTGTATAGGCTTTTAAACACGTGTGGAAAATTTTGTAGATATATTTATGTATGTATGTCTTTTTTGATTTTGATTGATTAGCTTTGAACTTAGGGTACGCCTTTAAGCTCTTGAATGTCAAATTTGTATGGGTAATGTAGCTTTAAACTGATGGCAATTTCAAAAGACGTTTGTGAAACTGGCTGATAATATAAGATTAAGCTACTTATGACAGGAGTCAAATTATCATTATAAAAGAGCTAAAATTGATGACGTTATTTTAACCAACTTCAAAAAAGAGGCCATCAGTTTACCTGTGTATGTACACGTCATTAACTGACATAAAAAAGAGGTTCTCAATTTGGCCTGTACGTTTCTATTCGACCTTAAAGCAATATGTTATCAATTTGACCTATATGTATGTAATTTTAATAGAATATAGCGCAAGATTCATGTATTCTAGTTTATATACGTTTCTAAGCACGTGTGCTATATTTTGTATATGCATAATATGTATGTTCATATGTGTATATGTTTCAAAATTTATTTCTCTTAAATTAAACTTCTTTGTTTTATTAACTCTTTTTCAACTTTGGAAAAACTGTTTGGTAACGAACTGTTACCAGAAAAGTAGGTTAGGTAAGATAAGAACTGCGACCCCAATAATAACGAATTTCTTCAAGAATACTGGGTTAGGTTAGGTTGGAACTGCTACCATCACGGAATTTTTTTATCAGGTAAATATAAGATGTATAAATAGAGACAAAGGTGTCGATTTAATACAAGTAAGAAGTTAATAATATGGATCGGTGATAACTTCTATAATAAACTAACTTCAAAAAATCGTAATAAAGAGAAACGAGTAAAAAGAGAGAAATAAAACCATAAATTTTTGTCTCTAATAAAATCGCAACACAAAAAGTGGATATACCAACATTTTTTTTGAGGTCGGTGCCAGATATTAACTAAAAAAATATTATGTACGGTAAGAGAAATAGATTTTCTGATAGTGCTGTTTTACTTCTTACTAATGAAACGGCTAGGTATAAATTTATATAAACTTTGTCATATTGATGATGCAAAATTTTCCTATCTAAGACCAATAGTGAAAATTCGATAATCTGATATTCAACTTTTGCGATTATTGCCATCTACACAGTTACAAACAAACGCGTTAACCAATCGAGCTTTTTAAATGATACGAGGGCGCTATTA